GCACCCCTCAGCATTGACTCCAGCCAAGGCCCTTTAGAAACTTTCCAGGAAGGAACATTTGCCTTCTCATTACTCTGCCATGCTGCAATTCTGACCTTTAAACACCCAGGTCTTTCATTTTTAATCAAAACCAATTGGAAATAAAGGGGTCTGGGGGGAAGGATAGACTGCAAATGTCAGTCCAATAAAGGAAACAAAATCTTCCTTTCTCCTATAACACGCACACTGCTCCTGCTGCTGAATTTCACAAACTGGCATTTCGCCCCAGAGAGCGCAGGCTTTGCAGTCACAAATGCCCCGGGTCTCCTTTGGGACGCTGGAGAAGAGCCTTGCAGTGGGGGTCAGCCAGATGCTATGAGGCACGTGCCTATGGCTCCCCGCTCATTCCCACCGCTACAAACTGTGCCCTGTCTTCCAGAGGTGCAGGCCCCCCCTCCTGAGCCTGAGATGGACGACTCCGGTGCGGAGGGAGAGACTCCATTGCCAGCCCATGCCCAGATAGCAAAGGATGTGATGGAGAGATGTATCCACTTACTGTCTGACAAGAGTCTGCGGGTGCGGCTGAAGGTTAGCACAGTGCATGCACCACACCATACCGACAGGGAGCACCAAAGGGCCCAGGGTGCCCATTATGGGGACTGTTACCTTGTGCTTGGGGGAGAATCACAGGATGTACCAGACGTGCCGCTAGGAGGAGGCCAGTCCCACCTTGACATCTCACCGCTGCCAGGGCAGAGGCTCCAAGTGCTGGCAAGCCTTAGCCTAGATGGAAAGAGGAGGCTGCCTTGTGCCAAGGAGACTGAATTCAGCCTCACAAACCGCTTAGTGTCAGTCATCGGAGCTTAATAGCTTGTCCCGTGACAAGTAGAGGCCACCCATTCCTGCCCCCGTGGCTTTCCTCCCCAGCTCCCCACCCCCCGTTTGGGGAGAGGCAGAGGTGGATCCCATTGCTTTAGACTCTTCCATCCTCTGCTCTCTGGAGAGGCAGGGGGTACTGTAGCAGCCTGTCAGAGCTGTGCCTTCTCCTTGTGCAGGTCCTGGACGTGCTGGAGTTCTGCGTGATTGTGCTGCATCTTCATGAAAGCCATCTGCTTCCCATGGCTCATCGCGCCTGGCCGGCTCTCGTCACCCGGCTGATTAACGACGACCCGCTGGTGGTGCTCAGAGCCTTCAAGGTACGACGATGAATCCTGGCCAACGGCCTTCAAGCCAGAGCAGAGAGAGCAAGCCACAGAGCTGGCACCCTGCCACGTGCAGAATGCTCACTGTACAGAATGAATTTTAAACACCCGGTGCAGAGCAAAGGTGCTTCCCTGCACAGTGTAGGTCTGTATCTGCAGGTACACTCTTAGTGCCCTATGCCCATGAATGAGATACTGATGCCCTCCCACTGGGGAAGAGCATTGTGAATGATTATTTATTGGGTGCAGTGTGTTGGGCTGGGCAGGAACGGAAAGGAAGACCCATCCTTTTACAGCCTAAGGGGCTGACTGTCAGAGGCACGGTATACTCTCATGCGAGCTGTGGGTTCTGGCACCCCTGGGGGATCACCCCCAGAGACAAGAGGCCCTACTCCTGGAGGGGAGGGCTTTCCTTGTGGCTGAGGCATTTGGGAGGTGGTTTTGCAGTTGCACTTCACGCAAATGCTCAGGTTAATAAAAAGGTTAAAAACTGTTCCCACCCTCATCAGTCCGGCAGTGCACTCTGCCGCGTTCCAGCAGCACCCTGCTCCCAGGAAGCCAGGCAATAAAACATCCATTTATGAGGATACCCGCAAGGTCACCAGCTCCCCAGGCTAACTTACCTTCTTTTCCATCCAGGCTGAGGAGGAGTATGAAGCCTTTGCAGTGACAAAGGCTCCACAATACCAACAGCCAGCACCCTAGAATTTCAGAGCTGCCCTATGATAAACTCCCCGGGTGCCTGGGTAAAGGAAGAGACAAATCG